TATAATCCTTATTTTCAAATATTATCAAATAAAATTTTATTTAAATATTTTAAAATTTAAAAAATGTAAATCATAAGTATATTTTTAACAATTTTCTAGGCAAATTTGCTTGGAAAAGCTTACAGATTAAGGGATATATAAAAAAAACTAAAGGTATAAGGGTAAACAATAAAAAATACAAAACAAGAAATAAAAGAGAAAAGAGAGATAAGTAAGAAAAAAAGAAAAGTATAAAACTTGTTATTTATAAAAAATCAGACAGTTATGATTTTAAGTCTATGTTAGGTGTGAAATTTGTAATTTACAAATATCAGACAATTACAATTATAAGCCTGTAATAGGCTTGTAAAAATTATAAACTATACTAAATAAAAATTACTTAACTATTTTTCTATTTATTTAGATTATTTAAACAAAAAACCAAAAAAGAGAAAAATTTTAACTTATTGTAAAAAGTTGATATAGAATACTGATTAGTTTAGAAATTGTATTTAACAGATTTCTAGAAACTCAAGACATGTGTATAGTCATGTTTGTATTACTGTATTATTTTTGATCTATATCATCAACAATCCTGTTAGGAAATAAACACTGCTGACTGTTTTGGTAATTTTATATGTCAATTTTTAGAAAAAAATAAACTGAATTGTTCATTTTTACAAATTTTTTTTTGAAAAAATAAAAATATTAAATGAACCAACTTTTAGCTTTTGTGAGTTTTTAATCCTTATGAGTGTTTCTTGTAGGTTTTATAGTTGTATAAAACTAATATATCCAACTTTATTATTTATTTAATGAGAAACTTTGATTTTTATCAACTACTTCTTCTATAGTCTCAGAGTGCTCTTTAAATCATCACTACAAGGCTGCAACTTTTTTTTAACTTTATTTCAATGTTCAACAATATATATATAGTATTCTAGAAAGGTTTTTATAAAGTTTAATATATAGGAGTGAGTTAGTAGAAATGCATTATATCATTTTTAATGAAATTTTTTGAATCTTTAAATAAAAATAATTTAGCAAATATTTAATCAAATTTAATAAAAATTTTTTTTAAATAAATTTTATATTTTTAGAATTATTTTAAAAATTTTTTTATTAAATTTGTTAAAGTTGTTGTTGAGTTATTTTTATTTAAAGTTTTATAAAAATTTACTTAGAAAAAATATAATGTGTTTCTACTAACTCACCTTTATATTAATTATATTATTTTTCTGTAGTTTAGCTTTTTAAAAAGTTTAGTTCAAGTAATCATTAGAAAGAGTTGAGTATTAATTTTCAAATTTTATTAAAAACTTTATAATATTATAATAATAAAAAAATAATCAGCAGTTATTCTGATCATAATAATAGTTAAATTATCAAATTTGAATAAGTATTTGTTAAGATAACTTAAATGCAATTCTTTTAAAATATTATAAATATTTCATAATTATTTCAAAATATTTACAATATTTCAAAAGAAAATGTTTAAACTATCTTAATAAAATACTTATTCTAATTTGATGATTTAATTATTATTATGACTAAAATAACTTGATAATTATTTTTTATTATTACAATATTGCAAAATTTTTTAATAAAATTTGAAAATTAGTGCAATTTTTTAAATTTTTTTATAATATTTTATATCAAATACAATATTTTTAAAATTATTATGTTTTAAAAATTTAATAATAAAATTAACCTTTTGTTAAAAATAGTAATTTTTAAAAAAATAGGTTCAATTTTTACTTAGATCACATTAAGTTAAAACTATATTTAACATAAATCCTTCTCTTTTTAAGCCTCAAATAAAAAAGATAATAAACAACACTTAATATAAAAATAGATTTTTTAAAATAGTGCACCTGCACCTGCACCATGATGCACCCCTTATATTATATAAATAAATACGCATAATTGATATATATAACTTATATAACAAATATATATTATGTTATTACACAAAATCATATGTTGTGTTATACAAAGTTATATATATTATACAAAGTTATGTAATTCAACTAAAAAACCTGTTATGTGCTAATATACCTACCCTAGTGCACCAAATTATAATTTCCTATAAAAATTAACCAATCAAATTGCAGTATTAGTTTCTAATATATTTTTACATTTTTTACATTTTTTTACTGTCAATTTTTTTATTCTTTTCCACTCTTTCTTGCAAAATATTTATGTTATGTTAAACAAAGAACCAATTTGAAGTGACCTTAATAACGATTGTAATATTTAGACCAAAAATTTTGATCGTCACTCGTAGCCAATCAAAATCGAAAATCTGCATGAACAAATTTGTTGCAACCAGCGTTGGCAGCACTAAATGAATAGAACAAAAGAACAATAAAATAGAGCAATAGAATTTAGAATAAAATAAAATTTTTGTCAATAGAACAAAAAATTGCCAACAAGACTATAATTAGATATTAATATAGCAATAATAAATAGAACAATAGAATAATAGAATAGAGCAATAGAAATTAGAATAGAATAGTTTTTATCAATAGAACAAGAAATTGACAACACTAGTTGCGACAGCTAAAGTTAATCAATTATAGAGACATGTTTTAAATTTTCCTGATCGTGTTACGTTACACCTAATCTTGAAAATTAATTGGCTAGTTAGGATAATTGAAAAAATTTTGGGTGTATAAGCTATATGCTTACAATATAAACATCCATTTTATATAAAATTTTTTTTGGCTTAATATTAGAATTGCTAATTTGCAAGTTTTGATAGTAAATTACCTGTTTTTATCAAATTTTATGGTAATTTATAAATTCCGCTTAACATAAGGGTGATCATTGAATCAACCGTTTTTTTACACAATCCGCGTATCCAGGTGTTATTCCTTTGTGTACTCCGTGAAACTATAAAAAATTGCTCAAGAATGAGCTATCACATTTTATACACACAACCATTATGTACCAAGTCAAAAATACGGCACAACTACTATTTCACCGCCCTTCCAACTAAAAAAAAAAAAAAACCAAAAAAAAAGAAAAAAGTATTTTACAGATATGAATTATCTTATTACATTAAAATAATAAGCTAAATGGTTCTTAAAATATTCAATATAATAATACTTCGTCTTCATCGTCATTGAATAACGAATCAGATCTTGTAAGAGTACTACAAGTGCAAATTTTTTCAAGGAATTTTGGATCATTATCAATTTTATCTAAGATCTCCTGGGCTGCCAACTTTCTTGCTGACCTAATATTGGTCGAGCTTGCATGTGCAACTGCCGTTTCATGAATGAATATAGTACATTTCTGGGTATCCGATTCTTCCGATGTATGATTTCTTTGATTAAAGACAATATTAACAAAAAATTATAGGTTAATGGTAGTGAGAATAACACTTAACATACCTCAATAATAACTCAAAACATCCTTCTTTTTGCATGTATTCAGTTAATTTTTTCACTGGATGAACTTTTAAGGTTTCTGGGGTGACATGCACAGTTAAGATAGGCTTTATCCATTTATCAAACACATCCTGTAGTGCGGCAGGATCAAATTCAGAATCAACAAAAATGGCCCCCATCATGCTTTCCACAACATCGCTCATCACTTTGGGAACATCTAATTCACTCCAATATTCTCCAACTGCTTCGTTTTTTTCTCTTAGTTCGTTCACAGCATTAACGAATTCCGTTATTCCACCTGTTAATTTACTGGAAAAATGAATTATGTGCTTATGAAGATTGATTCGTTCACAAATTGCACCAAGAACTTGGTTGTTAACAGCCGCATCTTTTAGATCAGTCATTATCCCAGGTTCTCCATCAGGATATTTCTCGAATAAATACTTCACTACCATAAAATCCAATACTGCATCACCTAGAAATTCAAGACGTTGATAGCAAGGTGTTGCAGAATTTGGAAGACTCGCGTGAGTTAAGGCCTCAACGATCAAGGTTTTGTTTTTGAAATTATGTCCACATATTTCTTCAATCCTTTCAACATTTACTCGCTCAAGCGCTTTCGCATTAACGCGAGGTCGATTTTTATTGTTAGCATGGAAGTCATTCCATTTAGTAATATCTTCCATTTGAATTTCCAAGGCTATAGCACATTTGAGGGCTGCATCAACTTGTCCGCTCATGTAGGCAGCTCCTAACATTGCTTCGACTACATCGGCAAGAGTTTTATCCGCTAATTCATGAACTTTCTTTTGCTCAAGCATATCGGCATCATCAATATTGGCTAACATGTTTGCGGGCCGCCATGCTCTGCGATTAAATGGTGATGATGTAATATATTCGTAAAGTTGCAATTTTCTAGCTCCACGATAAAGTTGTCTATTACAAATGATTCGAATACGTTGACAGTGCAGTTGGCCCTCGTGCTTATCAGGAAACATAACGTACAATCTGTTTGTAACGCAAAATTTTAAGAATGAATCGCCTAACGTCTCGAGGCGTTCGTAATTCATTTCCATATTAGCTGATGGCGTAGTTATTGCTTCTAAAAGCAAGTCGTCTCTTATAGGTATGTCAAATCGTGTTCTTAGCTCTAAAGCCAAAAGTTGCGAATCTAACCTTGTAAAAATAGCAGGTAGCATGAGAGCAGATCGAAAAACAGATGCTCGAATAGAGTATTGTTTACAGAACTCCGGTATCACGTATGTAGCTGTTCGACCTTTCTGAATTGGTAAAGAACCAGGGACAGGCTGCAAAAAATTCATAACCTTTGAGATTTTACGTACATGAAGCAATGGTTGTTCAGCGTGTTTTAATTCTAGGTCAAAATGTTTCTTGTAAAATTCAGCAAAATTTTGACACCCGACTTCTCTAATAGCCATGCCATCCGGTATGGGTGATAAAGGATTTAGGTCATAACAAATTGTTTGAACAAAATATCGCCGTAAATTATCAGAATAGTCAATTATAACGGCATCTTCTAAATCAGAAATGTTATCTAGATCAATTGGTAGGTGTTTTTCGGTGACCGCTCTTCTCATTCCTTCCCAATCAATATAATCAAAAAAATTCTCGTTAATTGGTGCATTACGAACAAGTGGTGCAACAAGGTAAGTGAATTTCTCAAATTCACATACAAATTCTTTGTTAGTAATGGATGTAAATGTACGTAATGTGAACTTGAAAATTATTTCCAAGTCTTCTGACTCAATACTAATTGGGACGGAATATGGAAGTACATTCAATACTTTAGCTACACCATGAAAATATAAAGTAATCAGTGGAACTTCCGGAAGTTGTTTACGGGTTAATAAACACATGGTACGATAATATTGCCCATCATATTTTTCGTCTTCTAATTCTAATTTCAAAACGGTAACATAAATTTTATCTGGAATTGATGGCATGTCTTCATCATTGTTCCATAAGTCTGGATTTTTGAGGTGATATTCTCTTTTTGATTTTCGTGCGCCTTCTACTAAGCCAAATTCATCCTTAACTGGTTTAGTCATTTCATGGTCTTCTTCGATCCATTCTATCTCAGGCAATAGATGGTCATTCAATGCTTTTTTCTCATACAATTGTAAACATGCCTTAAAAGCCGCTGCTTTCTTAGCATTACTTCGACTAGGAGAAACTTCACTTGATACAAGACGTATAGGTGCATTGTTTGGTAATGACAAATTACATGTGAACCCACCACCATTTTCTCGCTCTATGTTGAAATCTGGCCTTAAAATACAGTAATTATCACCAGGAAGCTTCGAGCAGTAATAATAAATTAAGGATATTGCTGACTCATAGCTCAAAAGTGCACCTGTTGACGGTATAATATAATAATGTCCATCATCATCATCATCATCGTCATCATCATCATCATCATCGCCCAACAATTTGCGGTCTTCTGGTAGCATTTGGCACCAATCTTTCATATCCTTTTCTGCTTGTTTCATCTCTCTGAGTATGCCATATTCTTTAAAGTTATTATTCTCAATCATAACAATGTATTTAGAATCTTTGCGTCGAGCTCTGCCTCGAGACTGTATATAGGCTCTTAATGTATTGAAAAAATCAAAGCTGTTGAAATTTTATCAATATATATTATTATTATAGAGAACAACTGATTATGCACACCACAATAATGATTAAAAATAATTAATACCGGATGACAACATTACAAGGTTGAATATCCAACCCTTCTTCAGCTACATTTGTGGCGATCAGTAAATTAATTCTACCATCACGGAACGCACTAATAGTTTTGTTTTGTTCTTTGAATTTCATTTGTAGATCACCTTCCTCGTGAGAACCGTGGCCCACAAGTACACCAGGTTTAATAAAGTAGAGCTCCTCAATCTCTTTTATTAAAAGATGAAGAACATTGGCTGTATGTCGACGTTCAACAAAAACAATTCCACAAAAATTATCAGTTTGATTTTTAAAGCACTTTAGGATATTAATTAATTGGATTACTTTTGGTGATAAAACCTCTTGTTCACGTTTTGGAGATTGAAAGTTCCAATCATTGACGATATCCATAGCTTTTCGCACAAGACGTTCCTCTTCTTGCGATTCTGCACAAAGTTCTGGACTTAATTTACCTTCACACTTCTCACGCATTTCATCCAAAATATATTTCCAAACACGATCGGAGCACCACGGACCAAGAGCTTGAAGCGCTTGTTGTGCGCTTGTTAATGCTCGATTGAACTTTTCGACATTAAGGTATTCTTCCCGGAGTTTTTTGTAAAGCTCAGTAGAAGGATATCTAGGAGGTGTATCGTATTTTATAGCAATCTCGTCAGGTCTACTTACAAATTTGCAAACCTCATCTGTATCGCTTGCTGTAAATACTCTGGCATTCAAGTTATGCTCCAGATGGCTAAATCAAATGACTGATTAGATTATTAATATGAGAAAACACTCTCAGCAATGGAATCAGCCAGGATCCCCCATAAGTTCGAAATTACCGCAGCATATATTTTATTTCGTTATATAATATGAATGAGAGAAATTATCTAATTTTTTATTACTCGAAAATAGTTTTTCAAATAGAACCCCAGTTTCTTGGTTATCCAAATAGATTTTTGATTATCGACGGCTGTTGCGGCGCTTTTGAATTGCCACCTATAAATGATACGTAGATTATCACCCGAACTTTCGGGGCGATCCTGGCTGATTCACCAACAATGCGATATAAGTGCCTGCAATAAATTCTGAATACCTAGCAGCATGGAGGGCACTACGAGTATTTACAGGAGAAGCCGTCATACCAAATATTTTTGGTTTGCTTTCCTCAGGACATCTGTCATAAAATTCTCTCATAATCAAATTGTAAGGATGTTTCTTTGAAGTATGATGGCATTCATCAAATACTAACAAATTGACCTATATATTGTAGGACATAAGAAAAGATAACTGTTGCAAAAAATCCGAAATGACGAGATATCTTTCACGACATTTAATCAAAGTTCTGGTATTGTTGATAAATGATTAAATTAACATGATCAACACTGACCTGTGACAGTGAGATAAATCCATGGCGCAAAATATTTAAAAATATCTGTGCGGTCATGACAAGCACATCATAATTTTCAAAATTGTTCCGCCATTCTTTTTCGCTCCAAAGATCGACACCCATTTCGCCACAAAAATGTTTGACCTTAAGATCACAATTTGCTTTGATCACGTTGGCTTGTTGGAACACCAAAGGAACGAGATTCACCAGAAAGAATGTGAGCTTGGTCTTTAAAATTTTCGAATATAATATTTAATGAATTATGAATAAAATTATAATACAGTGGCTCACGTCTGATGACTTTAGTTTGGAATCATTAATTACCTCTCTTCGTTGCATTCTTAATAATCGTTCCTCCGCAGCTATTTCTTTTATGAGCATTACAGCAATAAAGGTTTTTCCACTACCGGTATCTAAAACTGCAATGACATTGTCTTTCTTTGCCTTTTCAAAAAGCTCAATTTGATAGTTACGGGCGATAAGATCTTGTCTTGCCACTTCAGGAAGTGGAGGTATCTCCACATCTTTTATGTCTTTGATTTGTCCGTTCCCTTTTTGCTTTTTCCTGGGCAACTCGCCATTTGGTACTTCTATCGTAGAGTCCTCAGCTTCGACCTGAGAGCTCACATCGAAGAGTTCATTAATATCCAATGTACTCGGTGCAACCGACATTTCGAACCTTTTGATATTTCGTTGAGTATGGGCTGAATTACAAGGTCTTTTTTTTCTTTTACGCAAGGATCTCGTTTAAACCGTGAAACTCGAGTTCAGTCTCCTCTTTATAGATATTTCGTTATTGTAAATAGAGAATTATATATTATCGTTATGCATTTTTTTTACCTCAATTACGATAATATATTTGAAAGAAAGATAATATGCCGCATCAGCATAGTGGGCTTTCATTCCGATTGGTTAATTTTTGTGGATCATTTTGTGACGTTACAAAATCTGATTGGCTAATATAAACGAACACAACTGCTTTAGTTTTTAATTATTATTTTTTGTAATAATAACTTTTTATATATTGGTCTGTTAAATAATTTTACAATAAAAATGTTTATTATCATAATGAGACGATTCCAACAAGTTCAAAATCATCATATTTGCGTGTCAAATAGTGACGCACCTCCTATTGTGGAACGACGGTTGGGCATAGTAAAGACTATGTCCAACCGATCTTTCCACGATAGGAGATACGTCACTATTTGACACGCGAATATCTCAAGATCCTGTAAAATTATTTAAAACAGACCAATATGTAAAAAGTTATTATTACAAAAAATAATTAAAAATATTATATATTTATTATAAAAAACCAAAACTGTGGATATTATTAGAGCCACAGGATCTAGCAATATCGTGACAACCACATAACCAAATCTAACCGAAATTGTTTTATTTTTATTTCTATTTTCTATAGATATATAATAAAAAATAAACCAATTTCAGTCAGATTTGGTTATGTGGTTGTCATGATATTGCACTGTATGTTAGTGTTGTTACTAACACTTTGAGTCCAATTTTCTTTATTAGCCCTAGCCTTAGTCCAATTGGTCTTAGCATTAAGTTCAATTAGTCTTAGCTTCAAGTCAAATTATCTATTTGTACTTAGATATTTATTAACAAAATTTATAAATGCTTAATACGTATCAGGGTAGGATTAGTTTTAGAGTTTAGAAAGACACAATATTTGCATACATACACATAGTGTACAAATAGACTCGATTAACGATCTAAATCGTTGAAAACTAATCGATTGAAAAACTTTACCCAACTAATTGTTGATTGATCATCTACTGCTACATAATAAAGTTGACCAATTAAGTTGCAAACTAGAAGTACATAAATCCCCGATCCGGCCTATATTACTCACCTGATCTGCGTGACATCTCTAATCGACTGTTATAAATGTAATTCCAGTACTTTACCTTTCTTTATTTTACAAAAGATTCTCAGATATACTCATAATATGCCTGACGAAAAGAAGCTTCCTTGGGGAATCAATACGACCAAGCCTGGTTCTGCAAAGGTATCCTTATAAATATATAAGTAGTTTTTGGCATGCCAGCTTCTACGACTTGTTTACTGCATACTGATGTTGTATGTCTTAGACTCTTACGAAAACTAAGCTACAAGCTTTCAGCATCGGCACTCATAAAAAGACTCCTTTCCAAAAACATAAAGAAGAATTAGAACAGAAGAAAAAGGTATAGTCATTTTTTGTTCTTTTAAATGATTTATTTATTTATTTATTTTATTTTATTTTTGAATAGCAAGAATCTGAAGAAGCTGCAAAAGTATATGCTGAATTCGTAGCATCATTCGAAAAAGACGAAGGAGGTGGAAAAACCTTTGTTAAAGGCGAGACGATTGTACCTAAATGTGAGTTTATTTCTTTAACGCTGTAAGTTTACGTGCATGCTATTATTTATTAATTGCCAGGGAATGTTTGTTAGTATTATTTGACCATGAAGCAATAAATATTAAAAAGGAGACACCTGTTCCAACAACACCACCAAAACTATATAAACCGCAAGCTTTTATTCCTGCAGCAGTAACTACTAACCAAGAACCGATTCCTGAAATTATTAAAGAGAGCACTGAAAAAAATGAGGTTGGCTTATGCAATCAAGCTCCACATCAATTTATTTGTTTCAATTCACAATTAATTAAAATTGATTAATTTATAGGATGAAGATAAACAAGATGATAAGTCTAAAAAAAAACGTAATCTAGACTCATTCTTGGAAGAAATTAAACGGTTAATAATCAAGAAATTATAACTATCGATATATTGTCAATTTGAATTTATTAAATTAAAATTTATTATGTAATAGTGAGCAAGAAGAAAGAGAAGATCGGCTGAGGCAGAAACATGCAAAGCTGGCTGGTGCTGGTGTTTCATCAGGTATATTAACTAATCAGGTTTAGGCATTAACACGTTCTTAATTTCTTTCTTTCTTTTGGGCACTTAAGTTTGTGCAAATGATATAGAAACTACTGGTAGCGATGAATTTGTACCTACTTCTCTTACAGTTAAAGCAGGTTAGTGAAGTCTCAACATTTAAAGATATATATTTTAGGCTTTGATCGTGTAATAGAATTTTTCTACACAGCTTTTGAAGATCGACCTGGATCACACGATACTGGTGATCCAAACACGACAAATTTATATGTTGGCAATATAAGCCCTGAGGTAAATTTTTGTTATGATGATTTATCAATATAACTGTTCTTTATTTACGTGAACGCCATGCATATTTGTTTTCATAGGTTAATGAGGAAATGCTATGCAAAGAATTTGCAAAATACGGTCCTATAGCAAGTGTGAAGATAATGTGGCCACGTACTCAGGAGGAAAAGGATAGAAATCGTAATTGTGGATTTGTCAGTTTTATGGATCGTGAATGTGCTGCTATAGCCTTGAAAAATATGGACGGAAGAGAATTGCTTGGCTACGTTATGAGAGTTGGCTGGGGTAAAGCGGTTCCAATTCCACCACAACCTATTTATGGTATGGTTTATACATTTGGTTATTACTTTTTAAACAAATTCACCGTAACTGAGTTGTATACCTTTAGTATTGAATGAAGGTGGACGTCCACCACCAAGCGGATTGCCTTTTAACGCACAAATGGTTCATACAAACAGTAAGCATGATAGTTATTATGCATTCCGTTTATTCAACTACGTATTTTTATTTTATTGCCATTATTATTTTAAGCAGATTATGCTAACGTACCACCTCCAGGTTCGACTGCAGTGAGTAATTCAGATCGTTAATTCTACATTTCATTTATTATTTCAATTACCATAAATGGCTTATTTTGGTTTTATTTTATTATTTTATTTTTAAAGGCCGTTTTAAAAGGCCCCCGACTTGAAGTACAAGTTTCGCGGCCAGAAGATCCACAAATTGTAAAAATAATACATCGCATGGTAGAACGTGTTGTGAAATATGGACCACCTTTTGAGGTGAACTACTGAAACTCAATCCGATTTGTATGCTTATATATTTATTATCATATTTATTCATTATTATATTATCTTGATAGGCTATCATAATGGATCGTGAATGGAATAATTCCAAATTTGGGTTCTTGTTCAACAACGACGTAATGTTTACCATATCTATAATCAGACAAAATGATTTTTATGCCAATATTCATCATGAAGTCCTTATATTCAATAGTCTCCTGAACATATTTACTATCGCTGGAGATTATATTCTATTCTCCAAGGTGATCCAAAGAACAAGTGGCGTACCGAAGCTTTTCACATGTTTAATGAAGGTCCTATATGGGTTCCCCCGGAGATACCTTTTGATGAAGACGTTTGTATTATGATATGCCATACAACACATCATTAAATATTACTGGCCTTTCTTACGTTATTACCTTTGGATAACAGGCTGCAGATGAGTTACTGGACTCTGATGAAGAGGATGAACGAGAAAGAGAACGTGTTCCGAAAGGGACACTTGGACCTAAAGCAAAACATCGGTTGGAAGTAATGTTACGGAAGTTGACCTACGAAAGAGGCGCTATCGCAAAGGCAATGGCCTTTTCCATTGATCATTCTGATGCGGCCGATGAGGTAAAGTATATTACAAATCATTTATATCTTCTTAGCAATCGTCATTAATCAAAATTTTCAAATCTATTCCTTTATAGATAGTGGATATAATCTGTAAAACTCTCGTTATTAAGGAAACACCTATTCCAACCAAAGTCGCACGATTATATTTGGTATCCGATATTCTACATAATAGTAGCGTTTCTGTACCGAATGCATGGAAATTTAGGACAGTGTATGTTTGTGTTATATATTACTTTTGTTTTTGCATAAAATGTTGGTTGACACTGAATATTTCAATTTTACATTAGTTTTGAAAGTAGGTTACCGGAAATATTTGAACATTTGAACGAGGTATATAGATCTATTGCGGCCAGATTGAAAGCAGAAACTTTTAGGGTAAGTGACAAAGTAAATGAAAGTTTTGTTACAAAGCTTTATGATTTAATATAATCATATTGTCTTTGTCAACAACAACAACAACAAAAAAAAAAAAAAAAAAAAAAAAAAAATGCTGAGAAAATACGACATTAGATATTATTTCAACCAAGTTGGCTTTGAATTGTGGTTTTTGCTTACCTTTATTTTCGTGAAACTTTGATTTTCTTTTTTTAAAAAAAATCACCTCAACAACCGTATAAACTCTTAACAGCGTCAAATCACAACAATTCTCACCGTATGGGAAAATTGGATTGTTTTTCCTCAACCATATATTGAATCTTTAACAAATACTTTCATGAAGCTCACAAAAGAAGGCGATAGAATTCAAAACTCTTCAATATCACAACCATCCACCTCATCATCATCATCTGTAAATGGTAGCACGAAAGTCATAGAAACATAAATAGAATCCATTTTATACTTAATGGCCAAAGCTGATTACCAAATTAACTATTACTTTAATATTTTTTTAAACAAAATTGTTTTGCAAAGTTATTTTGAGTATTTAAATACGTCAAAATTATTTAGTTGATATACAAGATTAGTGTAAAAAATCTTTTTGGAATGGATAATCGTATTGCAAGTATAATAATTATTAAAAGTAATGAAAATTGATTTATTTGTAGAATTAATAAGTTTGTCTAATAGACTATTATTTTTTATTGATTTATTATTTTTTATTGATTTATTATTATTTTTTATTGATTTTTATTATTATTTCGGATTTTTTATTAAATTTTTTACTAGCTTAGTATTTTTTATTTATATTTGTATTGTTTTTTTTGTTTTTTTGTTATATCGATTTTGTATTAGATTATTTTTTTGTATTTTTTTTTAAGTTTGTAATATTATTTACTTAATTTGTTTTTTTTTATTTTTTAATATTGCATTTTTATTTTTATTTTTTAAACAGTATAGTTATTGCAACCTTCTTAATATTTTTTTAATTATATTTTATAATTAATTTGAATTTGATTATTTTTTATTTATTTTAGTTTTATTATTAAAAGTTTATAAAAAGTAAAAATATTATTATATTATATATATTCATTTATTTTTAATTCGATTTTTAATTTTATTTTATACTTATTTCAATCTTTTTTCTAATTCTATTTGTTCTAAAATTAATTTTTGATATACAATGAATCAAATATGGTGCAGAAAATCTATACTCAACGGTTATACAAAGTGTTTCAATTTTTTAAATAGTTATAATTTTTTATCTAAAGGGTTTTAAAAAAATCTAATCAGTAACTTTATAGAGCTAATTTAGCTTTACATATGTGCCAAATATCTTTTCAAAATCTTATTACTGTAAAGAGTTGATGTGTTTTGAATATTGAAATTTTATATATAAATTTATAAATTTATATATAAAATTTTAATTTTTAAAATGCATTAACTTTTTATAGTAATGAGATTTTGAAAAGATATTTTGTACATATGTAGAGCTAATATAGTTCTATAAAGTTACTAATCAGATTTTTTTAAAACTCTTTAAATAAAAAGTTATAACTATTTAAAAAATTAAAACATTTTGTGTAACTGTTGAGTATAGATTTCCTGTATTATACTAAATTAATTTTTTATATATAATTACTAATATTCAAATTTAGATAAACTTTGGTTATTTTTATCAGTTTAGATTACAGATAAATTAGTCTAAACTTTAATTCTTTTTATAATATTTTTAAAACTAAATTTATGCTTTATATAAAAATTTTAAATAAATATTTAATAAAGATAAAAGCATAGTTTCATCATTAATATTAAAAAAAATCGAGGATGGAGATCCTAGTGTAGTGATTAGGTTGTTATTCTTCAAGTAGCAGGTCTAAGGTTCAAATCCCACCTACGATGAAATTTAGAAATTATATCTGCATTATAATAACTGTCTCCTGTTGATCGGTTGGCCTCATGTGGCTGTTACTCAGGTACACCAGGCCGGGTCTTCCTGGCTTTGGGAGCTCAAGGCATCTATATGAAGTGTAATGTTACATATACATAGAGGAATGTTAACCGGTGTTGCATAAGACTTTGGTACAAACCCACGATAAGACCACCAGGCATAGAAGACTAAGGAATTAAGGTAACAGAAACTCGCTTGAAAATTCCTAAGTAAAGAGGTAGCATGAACTTTCGACAGTATCATTAGATCAGTTGAAGCCTATAAAACATCTTCATAGAAACCGAAGATTAAAACTAGACGACAAATAAGTATAGAGGAGCAC